ATCTAGAGTAAATCCCTAGGCTGATGAGCTCAGTGTATATTACTACCACACAAGGTGCTTGATGCAGGAACCACCTATAACGTGTACTGCTTCCAGTCCACCACTATGTAATAAAGGGGGGAATAAGGACTCAGCTGCAGCAACACACCCCACCATACTGCAGATGTCCTTACTGTTACTTAGGAACTTATAAGTTTACAATGACTCCAAAAGCATTACTTACAACTATTAACATAGGAAGCTACTACTAAATGTCCCTCACCTTCCTTGCATCTGATTTTATACTCACTTATCATACTTGAGTGTGATACCCCATGCCCTTCACCAGGGCTTGAGCTGTCCCTACTTGTTGTATCAACTATACTACACTATTTTGGAGAGTCTGAGAAATATATTATGCATGTATAGACTCCCTCTTGAAACCTATCAAAATGTTGCTTTTGCACGTACGCTATGACAGAGATTACACTTAAAGTCCTGCTATGCCATGCTCTCACTGAGAACTAGTCAAGTAAAAAACATAAACACTGATATATATTACCAAGATCTTGTAGTCTTTATTGAGATGAGTTTCCACAAAAGAGAGGGAAAATTTTACTAGAGCAGGGATTGCAGGAATCAAGCCAAAGTTACAAGGATTACATATTGAATGGTAAGCTGCTTTCTCTTTTTCTTTTTTTTTCCTTTACGCCCATCTTAGTAGAGTTATGACTGAATATGTTAATCAAAATCCTATAGAACTGTATTCATTTGTGTGTGTGTGTTTACTTTTCATTTACATAATCATCTTACAAAAGGAGCATTTCTTCTTTGTGTTAGATATCTTACGATGTATTTTAAAGCTGCAGTTACTGAAATATCCTATTCCACTATCAATTCTATTGCCCAGTTATTACCATAAATTATTATACAGAAGCTAAATATACATTTCCAATCTCATGATGTCCAAACAGTCCTGCAGTCAGAGAAATCAAATGTTCCCTGTGATGTGTCCTAAGGATCTGCATTTAGTGTTCTGGAACAAACAGGAGAAATTTCCAAAGCTCAAAAGCCTTTACAGAAAAATTAGAAAACATAATTGTAGAGTGACTTAATTTTGAAAATAAGATTTGTGTGTTTGTAACACAGAAAATGCTTATGGAAATAAGCAAGAACAAACACTGATACATATCTCCATAATAAGTGTAAAGCTACAAATATATTTTACTATTAGATATGTATTTTAAAGAATATACAAACTTGATTAAGCATAAAATCAAATGCTCTACTGGTAATAGGTGGGATGGAACAGAGCAACTGAGATGCCATGAATTTAAAAAAAAAATCCAAATCAAAATCAAGAATAAAAGAGGGCATGAAATCCCAACAAGCTTACAAAAACATTTATCTCTAGGCCTCTGTTTCTTCTGTTCCTACTTCTGTCTTGAGAAGACAAACACCTATCACTTGTCTGTACCCTAAGAATGTTGTCTAGGCATTTCTTATCTCCGCTCACTGCTGAATTTCACCCATTTAGTACTCAGAGTATGTACAACCACAGTCCTACTTAGACTCAACATGGAGTGGCTCGCAGGCCTGTGGTGGGCCAGTTCCACAGGAGAGGGTTTCACTATAAGACAACATCAGGATTTCAACTGGCTCATGAACACAGACAAAAACTTTGTTGCATCCTTCAACCTTCTGCCTAGAGCAGTCATCGAGTATCTGTGCCACCCTCTTATACTAGCTCAAGAACCTGATCCACCAAGATTATTACAGTGCAAAACTCTCTATTTTTAGCAGTTTCTTCGATTTGCATAAGGATGTTAACGAGCCTGAGCTTGATGGTTACAGAATGAAAATAAAAGGGCTCAGGAAATGTTTTAATTAATGGTGGCATGAGAATTGTATCTATCCTGCATACACACACTGGCAAACAGTAGACAAGCTGACAGAATATAACCTTGCAGGAAATGCAATGCATATCTGAAAACCTTCTTCCTTGCAAAGATAACATTAACAAACGTATTTCTGGCTATTGTTTCTCTTTCCTTCAACATACATGCTTTTCAGAGATTGCCTCTTCATTCCTAAAATTGAAACTTTAACATTCCATGGAAATAAGAGAAAGAATGAACTGGAAGCATGTGACTGTAACAATATCACATATAGGTGGCATAATAATTGAAATTCAAATTAATAATTTCATACTTGGGATTTTTAACTCTACATTAGAGCAAAACTTGTCTTAGCCAACCCATGAAAGGATGAAAAAAATATACATCTTTAATCAGATGGCCCTTTAACAAAGGTGAAGTAGACTTCTCATGAATTAGCACAGAGAATTTTGAAAAATCTCTGGAGACAGTAATTTGCCTAACATTTGGAGAAGTTTTGTCGTACCTATTGCAGAGTTTGTTGAAGATTATATCAGATAAATTCTATTTTTATATATCTCATACTTATCAAGTACAAAGCATAGTACAAAACCTGTGATATGAAGAAGTCTCTCATTGCACTGAATCAGCCAATTCACTAAAGATACTGTTCTTTAACTACATAAAACCACTAAGTCCTAAAAATGCAAATAATTATTTTGTTATCTAAATTTTACGAAACATATAGATGACTGTAATTATTTAATTTCAAATGTCTGAAGACTGTTGTTACTTATTTCATTTTTAGAATACTAAAAAATCTAACTGTGAGACTCCTTTGATCATCATATACTTATGTAATTACACAGTTCAGTCGAACAAAAACACCACAAAAACTCTTCACTATTTATAATGAGCAATCTTTAAAGTTCACCCTTCTTTTTCTACACTGGCTAGTTAAAGATTTTATCCATTTAAGTGGAGAGCTTCATCATATTTTTTCTAAATATAAAGCATGAGCTATTTTCAGGCCACTCAAAGAAAGTCTCGGTGTATAATATCAAACTCTTTGATTTGTTGCTGGCATATGCATTCCAAAATGTCATCTTGTACTGTTTTTAATGGTCATGGACAGAGAATGCTTATGATCATTACTGATTTAGATCACTGATTTCTTCACACTCAAGATCACTTCAGTATACAAAAGCAGAGAACCTCTACTGAATTTAATTTTGAAGAACAGTATCTCAGACTAAGCCTTCTCTTTCCTCTGAAAAAGTCAATCAGATCAGTAGTGTGCACTCATACAGCTCTCAATGAATATAAACTAGAAGGAAGTTGTCTATGTGCTATGCAGCATTGTACAGGCAACTCTCAGTTGTATGTGGGTGTGTAACCCAGGTTGCAGATTAGCAGTGCTATGCTAAAACAAAGCAGGAAAAAAAAGGAAAAACACCCACCATTCTTCTTTGAATTTCTGATCTCACTTTTTACTTCATCTTAACTTCATTCCTTGATAAATGAAGTTAACATAGGAAATTCTTATCTAATGTGGACATGCTTTGTATTACCTATGTGTTAGCTCTGTGCAGGTTAGTCTACTCCATTTATAGCTTCAATAATTGAGAGCTGACTGTGTAACTATGAAAGAGACCAGCAACCCACCTTTTTATTCAACATTTGCTAAAAACCAATTGCTTGTTGAAATACCTCCCTAACTCACCTCAAAAATCATCAGTTCCCTTTTATATAATTTTTTAAGCCCATGTGTAATAACAGCTTGTTGCAATACTGGATTCTTGTTAATATAAATAAAATGTGGACATGCTTGAAAGGCAAAGCAAAAGGAATACAAGTGAACAAACACAATGCACCTAAAAGGAGACAGAGTGGACTCCTCTGCCCCCAAGGCCTAGAGACTGACAGAAAGCCATTTTATAATAAGATTTTGTAGCTGTACCAAAAAACTTGCATTTATTGGCTAAATGTACATTTTATTTATTTAGAGGGTCATTAACACCAAATACGCTTTTAAAAAATAATATGCCCTTGGGCAATGTAACAAAAACAGTGGTTTAATTATGAAGGATTTGAGAAACTTGTTTCCTGCTGTCCCCTCCCAATTCTCATTTTCCTCCGCACAGCCGAAACCGGATCTGCTTCATGACCAAAGACAAAAGATAGAGATACCCAGTGCACTAGTCAAGTGCCCTGAGATGATGACTCCATGAGCTGCAAAACCAACTGGAAGGAACTGGCGGTCCCTCTCTGTCCTCAGGAAGGGAAAGTAGACACTGGCAAACACTGGGAAGGTGCTGCAGGATCTTATCTACTGGGGAGGAGGGATGGCTGACATACTTCTCAAGGAGCAGGATAAATACAACACTCAGTATATGAAACATTTACTCTTGCAGAAGGATTGATGGAGAGGCTGTCAAAGGACTGGTGGGGCTAGAAAGGGCAGGAAAGCAACAGGGGCAGACAGCTTTTTCTCCAGGGAATTTGTTCTTACTCTTTTTTTGTCATCAAAAAATTAAAACCGTTAGCTTCACATTACCCATGAGCATTAAAGATCAACGCAGATATAAAATAGTGTGATATTCTTTGCTATTCTGAAAAGAGTAACTACCAGCCCTGTATTCTAGCTTTGGCAATAGCTTAGCTCCTGTACTAAAATGAAAGCAAAAGGCTTTTCATATTGTGACACAACAGTGTATGAATTGGAATTAATCTTCTTGCTCCTTTGAATTTATACCTTAATACATTAGTTTTGATATGCTGACTAGGATCTAAATGACACTGATGACAAAAACTGCAAGCACTGCTTTAATTCATGCATACACATAGTTCTTGTAGGAATCTCTCTAAACTACTTGACATTCTGTGCCAGTGAGTTCCATTGAGTAATAACTTTGCATAAAACGTTACTTCATATGTTGGCTTTTAATTTCACTGAACATCCCCTTGTCCTTTTAATGCTGGAGAAAAATAAAATACTTCTGTCACAAGACTTCTTACTGGAACAATTATAAAAATTCACTAAAGAAAAAGTACCTGTCCTCTGTCAGGTAGTAATACAGTTGCGTATTTTCATATAGCCAAAGGAATTATATTCATATCAAAAGAAAAACATTTATCAAAATATTTGCTTTCAGACTTATTTACTGTTTATTATTTTAATTTACATCAGTTACTGCTTGCAAAACTTCCAGGGAAATATTTTTAATTTTTTTTCTCTTTTCCCACTGCATAGTAAATACAGCCTTCTTAGTATTTCAGAAGCATAGTACTATAGAAATGTTAGGGCCTGCTTCTGCTACGAATGAAGTTAATGGGAGAAAACACCAACTGACTTTATCGGGAGTTAGGTCAGGCCCCAGATTTGCAGCTTTTGAAATTTTGTAGTTGAAAATTTTCTGGCTAATCCTCAGAACTGACTACTTCTACAACTATAACATTATTTACAACTTTATTTATATGTACTTCTTTATTACAATATGTAATATCTATGTTCCTTGTAAAGGTTACTATTTTATAGAAATTAGACTGAAGTTATTGCCAATCAACCTTTTAATAAACTTAAGTGGGATGAGTTTCAGAATTTTTCTCAACATACAATTCAGTTTTTATTCCTTCTTGCTATCTCTGAAAACTGCTTAACTACCTTAATTTCAAAGCCTTTTTCAGTGTAATAAAAATGTCCTTTTGGTAGAAGTTTATTGGTCCCATTTCAAATTACGTTCTAAAACATTCTTATACTGATGAGGACTCATTATTTTAGCAATTTATCTGTTTCAACACAGTATATAAAGCCATGCCTCTCAACCAATCAACCTCAGTATAAAAGTGTATGTGAGGTCAAACAGATTGCTCATCAAATCTTTGATCAAGTTGTCTGATGACATATAGACACAAGTGTCTGAATTGTTGCATATGTTGTATAATGTTATCATACAAATTTAAGTATTTCCATTATTGACTGCTGCTTGTGTATTTATATGTTAACTTGCTGGTCATAAAACTGCAACAAAGGACAAGATATACCAATACTGAATTAAGACCTCTAGTTTTGCCTCTCCCAAAATTAAGAAAAATCTGTGTTTTTATGATTGACCAACTCATGATGTTGTGCTTCAAATATACACATATTCCAAAATTAAACTGTGAAGCTAATGTTAAATACTGTGTTGTAACTTTAAATATAACTGACATATTAGAACAGATAGATGGGTAATTATGATAAACTACACAATAGTGCTACTGTAGATAATATAATTTATCAATCCTGTGGTCCCCACCATTCATGCATTTACAGTTTGGGAATACAGTGACTGCAAAGGATAATAATTCATAATGGCTACATTCTCAGTACTTCATGCTAGCTCACTAGACAAAATAAAAAAGGTTAATTGTATAACTGGAAAAATGTAAAATTTTATTCCAAGAAAATTAACAAGCTACACAGGTAAATTTTGGCAAATGCAACTTTATATTGAAATCCACACATCTGTATCTGAAAGAAGGAAAGACTCACAGACTCTAATGTATTTCTAAAACACTAAGAAATCATAGTATATGCTTTCACAAGTTAAAACTTAAATAATTTAAAACAACCAATACACCAAAATGTGCAGAAAATATAAACAAGACTGTGCCTTCAGTAGAATAAATGCTTCACAAATTGTGCAAGATATCATACTAAGGCTGCGGTCTCCCCATGACAGCTGTCTCAAAATATAAACATACATCAACTGCCTGTGTTTCTCAGAACAAACTAGAAAGGGCGGCACACCTAGAAAAAAATCATATAATCCCAGTGATGTGCATATTGATTTTGGGAACCATTGGAGTAAAAAGGAAAAAAGAGGACTAAGTGATCTTTCATGCACTCCCAAACGACTGACCAGAGTTATTGATTCAATTTTCCTTGCTTATTTGCTTCAATGCTAAACAAAATGGAAGATACTAGATAACCCTTTAAGGCAACATGTGTTTATTCTGTATAATTATAACTCTTCAATTATGACTGGATATTGTTGTTAACGTTGCCTAACAGACTGATATCTAGCTTTTTAGAAAATATAAATAAGAGTCTATTAAACTTTATACCAAATCAGCAAAAAACACAGAATACAGTTAAATGTTAGTAATTTCACTGTTAAGGAAAATGGTATTTAGAAAGAGTAATATATTTGGAAAAAAAATTAAATTCGAAATCTGAACAAAAATACTGCTTTGGAATGCTCCTCAAAACTTACTCACAAGGCAAACAGATTTGTAAGTGTGATAATCCAATAATGCATGGCACATCTTTAATCAGTTACAGTACTTGAGTCCCCAGTTTTCAGTCTTTGCAAAATAATAATTGTATGAAATGTTTTAAAGGTCTTCAGATGTCTAAAATTAGTTTTATCAACACATTAACCTCATATCAACTTAATTTATTAAGATGTCCAATGCTAATCTTTCTGATGTTCTTATTTTATGTAGTGATATACACAGCATTTAGCACTGATACTTAGCACCTGCTACTTTCATAATCTAGATTTCAACCACATAAAGGAATTCAGGGCAGTAGTTCAGTCCTTTGTTCTTAATTACAAACCTTCAGCAGTGGTCAGCAGGAACACGTTTAGGTTTAAAACAGGATTAGAGGTGAGCTATTGCAAAGACTGCAGAATGTTGCCCAAATCCTTACAGCTGCTGACATCCCATTCTTGATTTTCTCCTCAAGACATGGCTACAGGCCACAATTGCTTAGCAGAGAATGGTAGTGTTTCACAAGGCTAAAGATTTACAGATGCTCCCTCATATAACACAGTAAGGTTCCCTTGGTAACCTGGATTTTCTGCAGTAAAGAAGGGTTGTGCTGAAACAGCGCCTCAGCTCCCTGTTGGAGAAAATGCAGACAAAAGGATTGATTCCAGCTTGGGCAAAACTCATCCAGACAGCGGCCGTTAGAAATCCCCCAGGTACTACAGGCCCTCTTGCAAAAACTCTCCAGTAACAGGCTACCAAATAGGGACCCCACAAGGTCAGAAAGAGAAATGTCATGATGTAGAACATTCTGCTGATTCTCTTCTCCATTTTGAACTCATCTAAAACCAGTAGCCTCCTCCTGCCCGTGGTGTTCGCATTTTGCCTGATTCCCAACAAGGTTGGAGGTGTGGGACCCCTTCCGAATCCAGCCAGCCAATTAGCAGCTGCTTGACCACTCGCTCCAGGACCATGAAAAGTCCAGTTCTGGCTCACTGCTGCAACAAACTGGACTGGCTTCATTTTCCTGCGATCGTGAACAAAAAATATCAGCTTGAGGTAGACAAGCTGTGTGGCTAGGAGGATAAGGGCAAGAAGAAGCATAAATCCCAAGGAATCATTAGCCCTGAAGGAACGATGCTGGAAAGTGCATTGGTCTTCCTCCCTAATGAACGAGTAGGTGCCCACATCTAAAACTGGGGGGAAAGCCATGGCTACAGAGAGAGTCCAAACCATACAGATAACAGCCAAACAAGTCCAGAAGGTCAGTCTTTTCGTATAAAAACGGTGGTGGGCAATAGCTAAGTATCTTGTGACGCTTATGCAGAATAACATGAAAGCAGTGTGAAAGCAGGACAAAACCCCCAAAAAGGCAATCACCTTGCAAGTAAGAGTCCCATACGTCCAAGTAGAGCCATTTTTCACAGAGGTGAAAACAAATGGGAAACAAATTGCAGATCTGAGGATATCTGAGCAGCAAAGATCCAACAGGAAGTAGTAAGGAGCTCTATGCAAGGTCTTATCTTTGACTAGCAAAATGGAGATCAGAAGGTTACCCACAACACTGACTCCTATTATGAAACCCAGTGAAGTCAGTTTCAGAAAAGCTGTTAAAGGAGAGAGATTTTGTAAAATGTTGTCAGCTGCATGGCTGTAGTTCGCCATAGATGGATGGATGATATGTATATTGCCTCAGTCAAGTCTCATGATCTATATTTAAGAACAAGGAAAAAATAGATCCATACATCTTACTGAAAATGTAATCCACAAACAGAACTGATCTTGTGTCTAGTCATACAGTACATCCTCTTCTTTCTGATTTGTCATGCCATCAAAATATCTGAAAAAAAACGAGCTATCAGTTCTTAAGTTAACACAAAATGATGTCAGAAAGTGCTAACAAAGATGTTAATTTATGGAGAATCAAATGAAGTTGTAAATTTGAGTACTATTGTTTGTTTTTAAAAATCATGAGGCTTTTTTTTTAATATACTTACTCTTTAGTATGATTGATTATTGACAGATTTGGCTTATTACAGTTTCCGACTGACCAATGCCCCTTATATTGGGTAGCACATATAATCCACAGTGAAAGCCTCAGAGATTTTATGAATCAAAAGATTCCCAGTTTGTGAGCCCAAGAGTTAATCACTGACATCTTTTTTAAAAATCCCCAAAGAGCACTGATATTTTGACATTACCTACATTTATTTTATGTCTACTGTATTTGTCAATGTTTTAAGAGGCAGCTGCTATGTTGATACGGATCACACCCAAAGAAAGCCTGCAGAATTTATGTTTTTTAACCCAAGTCACCAAAGCACATTAAGCACAGTGTTAGTTTATGCATATTGTAAGAGAAGCAGCATTCATGATCCCCCTCCCTTCCTTCTATAAACTATAATTTTATCATTTAGGCTTTTAGATAAACAGGTATCCAGACAGTCGATAGCAGTATGCTTTAGGGTGTCGTTCCCCCCCTCCCCCGCTTTAATGCAAATCGTTAAAGCCTCGACATAATTCATAATAAGCAACGGTCAGTGTAAATACTGAGCAAAAATAGGCAACGCAGCCAAGATTTAATGCCCATCCTTTTGGGAGGGCTAGTTTTGGTTATGCTTAGATAAACATATAAATTGATATTTTTTTTTAGCTAATTAGGGCTCCGCGATTCCCACTAATCCTCCCAGTGAATCCTACCGGAACACGTTTCATGCAATAAAATAAAATAAAGAACTGTCTGCTGCTGGGGTTTTTGGGGGTTTGTTTTTCTTTTTTTCTCCCTCCAGAGCCAGGGACAGGAGCCACAGCAGTCATGATCAGGCTCCTCCGTTATTCACACGAAGTGTTTCCTATGCCACCTCGGGTGTACAAAGGATATTCCCACTGAATCCCAGCAAAAATCCTTCCATTCTTACCGTCCACAAAAGAGCCTGATTGCTGCTGTGTAAACAGAGGCTGATCAGATCATGGCATCGTTTTAAAACCATGAAATCAGGCTCCCCCTCCCCCTCCCGCCAGCCCCGCCGCTCCCCCTCCTCCGTGGATCTGTCCCCGCGGCGGCCGGCCCTGCCTCCGCACACACTCCCGCACGCTGCACACCCGGCGCTCGCTGGCACCCTCACACCGCCGCTGACACACACATACACACTCACGGGCACAGCCGCTCCCCCTCGCCCCGCCATGCAGGGCTGGACTGCGCCGCACTGCAAGGCAGCCCGGTGCCGCTGCTTGGCATCAGCCGCATCTGCCGGAGCCGTGCGAGAGCCCCCCGCGGCGGGGAGCTGGGGTGAGCGGAAGAGGCATTGTCTGTGAGCGCTTTCATCATGCCGCTTCTTTGGAAATCACCCCCCAGGCCCGCTCCCTGAGCGGGGGAGCCCTCCCCGCACGCACCTGCAGCCGCGGCAGCCCTCGGCGCCCCCAGCCCTTCTCCTCCTACCTGTTGGTGCCGGAGATCCCCACATGCCAGAGCTGCTGCTTGCCGCCGACCGAGGGCTGCTTTATCCTGGCGGTCTTTTCTATTCTCCTCTGCTGTCTTTCATGCTTCTTTCAATCCTTTTCCTTTTTTCCCTTTTTTTTTTTTTTTTTTTTTTTTTTTTTACCTCGGTACCTTGGCCGAGGATCCAGTCAGTGGCTCTGGCGGCGCATGCTCGCCGCGCCTCCCCCCTGCGCGCCGAGCCCCGTCCTCCCCTGTCGCAGCGCTACAATCTCTCCCAGTAACGCAGCGGCGGCGGCCGTCTCGATGAGGGCACGGCAGCCTCGGCGGCGGCAGCTGCGGCTGTCTCAGTGAGGGCACGGCAACCTCCGCGGCGGCAGCAGCGTCCTCAGTGGTGTTCGGGCAGCCCCGGCGGCAGCAGCAGCCTCCTCAGTGAGGGGAAGGCAGCATCCTCAGTGATGGGAAGGCAGCCTCCTTGGCAGCACGTTCCCATCGCGATGCATAGCCGAGCTGGATTTACTGGCGAGCCTGGGCAAGCCAGTGAGGAAAGGGAGGGGAAAGAATCAGGTCCTGTGCTCCTTGTCTATGCCGCTGGGCTTCCCCTCCCGCCCCATTCGGTTGCAATAGGGGTCTGGAGGCGCCCGCCGCGTTGCGCGTTGCAGGCTGTGTCAGGAGAGGGACCGGGCGGTTTCTTCAGCTGCCGCTGCCTGATCTTTCCGCTCGTGGCTCCTTTTCCTCTCTCCCGATTCCCACCCGGTGAATTCCTTCTTCCTGACCCCCGAGCCAGGCAGGACTCCTTAATAAGTGCCGTTGTTCGTGGAGGGCGCATTCGCCGCGGGGCCGTGAGGACACCGCACCTTCGCCCCCCGCAGCCCGTGGAGCGGCTTCCCGACGCGCAGCCCGAAGCCGGCGCAGAGCCGTCAGCGCTCTCGCTTCATGGCGGCGGGGATGGATCCGATGTTAGCCCGTTCCGTCCGCGGCAGGGCCGGCGTTCCCCCTGGGCGCGCAGGGCGGCAGCGGCGGCCGCCGCGGAGGAGCGCCCGCCCGAACCGGCGGCCGGCGGGGATCGATCCCGAGCCGTCCCGATGATGTCATGCGGGCCGGGGGGCCGAGGCGGCGGCGCTGGGAGGCGGCGGGCTGTGGCCTGGGCCGCCGCAGGGGCCTCCCGCCGGCCCCCGCACCCGCTGGTGCCACCGCTGTAAAACCAGGAGGGAGCGGGAAGGATTTGGATAAGGCTTGAAAGAGCACGTTCCTCCGCCCTCCCGCCTCTTCGGTTTGTGTGGAAGTTTATCCGGGAGAAGTGGGAACGTGAAAGCCGTGCCCCAAGAGTAATTCGCTTTGACTGCAAGGCAGTTGAGGAACAGCTTGTTTTGGGTCGAGAGATTTGGATCCTGAGGAACTTCTTCACTGGGAGCTTCTGTTCAAGGCAGAATAAATCCTTCTGGGGGACAGATTTATGGGGTTGATTCATAATGTGTGTCACATCTATGAGACCGTTAGTAGACTACAGGCATTTTTTAAGGCTGTTGTCAAGTTTGGGTTCTTTTTTTGGCACTTACTAAAAGGCATTGGAATTGGTGGCCAAACCACAAAAGCAACTTCAGTAACAGTCTGACCAGGCCCAGAGGTCTGCAGCCACTGGAAAATACAGTTATTTAAAACCAACATAGCATGTTACTTGTTTCAGCTAAAATTTATTCTTAGGCAGAAAACCCACACAAAGCTCAGGTACCACACAACTTTTTATTTTTTTCTGTTAATGTAATTATGACAACTTCATGTTGGTGCTCATCTTTGGCGTGGTAGGTGTTGGGTGGTTATTAAAGCTACTAGTTCAAGATGCACTTTTCATGTCCCAGTCACCTAAGCTAAGCAGACCTCTCCAGCTATCCTTTTTCTCTTGTTAAATATAGGTACCCACAGTGACATAGACCATGACTTTTAAAGTAATTCTTAAAATGTGAAGGGCAAGTAGCTAAGGCAGCAAGAGCAGGCACTTTAATAGTCTGTCTGTCTAATATAGCAAAGAATTCTCTAAAAGCCATGCATGAAAATGAAACATTTGCAATGCAAGATTAGGAAGATTTATAATATGTGCTACAGGATGACTGTATGGTCATGGTCAGGGCCTATTCTTGCACTCTGATATATGTTTTTTTGTTAAGAGTAAACAATACAATGTGATCATCATTGTAATAAAATAGATTCAGTGCAGTAGGTTTTAACCTTTTCTGTCTGTGCTTTCTTAGAGTTGTCACAGAATTTTATTGCATTATAACATTTTAAAACTTGCTTTCCTTTTAGACCTGTCACAGACTGCTTAGAAGTAATCTGTGGACTTCAGAATTCATTCAGAATTCAACCACCAGTTCAGCATTAATTCGTCATCATAGATGTAACCTGAGAACCAGTGCTCTAATTTTGTTCAACAAAATGTAGACATCCAGACTGAAGTGACAGCTAGTTTTCCGTCATAGTCAATGTCGAAGAAGACATGCATTAGAGAGCAGATCATCTGACTCACAAGTCTAAAAGCCATCCTATGGCTTGAACTTCATTCTTTTATTGTAAGAGTAAAGACAGCCAAGAGAAACCGTTGCTACAAAGTTAGAGATTTCTGGTGGAGTGAGGTATTGCTGTGTTAAGCTGTTGCACCAGGAGCAGGTCACATCCTCCATGGAGGGAAAAAAAATCCAGAAGTCATGGGGTTGGGAATCTGGGAGGCAAAGGCAGATGCTGACAAAGATGGCTCCATGAAGCAAGAACCCGGAAATGAATGTGCAATTGGAAGGTGTGGAGAAGAAGAGATCTGTAACGACAGGTGAAGAGGTCTGTGCTGACTAGTTCTTCAAAACAGCTGTGCTAGAGATATGAAAGGTTCAGAAAAAAAAAAGGGAGGCAGCCCTTGTTTGCAAAGTGAGTGGATTAGGGGTAGCGAAGAAGAATTTCTTGGGGCTTTGGCAAAAGGAAGGATCCTGGATCCTGAATAAATTGCCCACCATACAATATAAGGGGGGCAACACTAAGGGCAATAAGAAGGAGGTTCAAAAACACAGGAGACCTGTGTCCCATACAGGCATCTCAGAAGAAAGAAGTGTTTACTCTCAGGGAAGTAAATATCTTTCCCTACCTTTTCTGTTTGTTAGTTTGGGGTTTTTTGTTTGTTTGCTTGTTTGTTTTACTTACATACTGCTGTTTCCCAAGAAGGAAGGGTAAAGGGAGAGAGTGTAAGAGAAGTGTGAGTAAAGCATACACAAGAGTGTTGATGTGCCTATTAGAGCTATCAGCACACTGATCAGAGCTTTCAGGAGAAAATGAGAGACCCAAGATTATTTCCCTGATTTTCTGAATTAGATCAAAGATGCGAACCATCGCCAGGTTTGGACAACTCTGCTGCAAAGTTCTTGACGGTTATGGTACGGAGCTCTTTCATTTAGTCCTGTTGGAGTTATTTAATAATCATGGTCAAGAAAGTAACTGGTGAAATACTCAGCTTTGTTGCTGATGACTGAGGATCCTGTATTCCAGTTGTTTATTTTTTTTCCAATTTAAATACTGTTTAAGAATGATCAAGGAGCTGTGTCATGTGAATTGGATGCACTAGGTCCATTCACAGATCAAGATCATCTTATTGGAGAGCCCTACTTTGATATTCTCAGTCTTTGGCATAATCTGCAGATCTGGGCAGCTCATTCCCATGAGGTGGTAGTGATGCTTAGGTGCATGTGGCCAAGGTGCCAGGAATTTGGGTTCTGGGGTGGGGGACAGGAGAATACAGAAGAATTTTGTTGACGTGTAAGTGGCATTTGGGGTACTTGCCACCTGATTTCTTTTGAGGATATGTGCCCTGAAACCCTATACCACGATTGTGAGCCAGGTGAGGATGCAGGGTGATTCTCATTGTTTTGAACTTTTTCCTCAGAATGGGAGAGGTTTCTGAGAAGTCTGACACAGAGAAATTTCACTAATAGAGTCTGAGGTAGAGATAGGGCTAGAAGACAGGCTAGCGATGACAAGTAACTATTAGTTGAAAAGATGAGGTGAGATATTGGCCTCACCAAGGTCAGTAACATCTCTCAACTATTTCAGTGGGATGAGGATTTCAGCACGGGACCAGAAGTTGTGAATACCTAAACATAAAGTATTCATGTCCCTTTTGTCTTGACCATTTCAGTAACTAATGTGTTTACACACTGTCTTGAAGTTTGTATATATGCAATGTCAATCCAGTCTGCATAATGCAAACTCTGAAGCATTGTAGGTTTTCCACATTTCTGCAAAACAGGAGAGATAATCTGCAAGGTGTGCCCACTCCTGTGCAGAGGCCAGCACAAGATTTATTGCTTAAGAGACTATGATTGATGCTATCAAAGTACATCCTTTTCAAAGGGCTCAAGGAATTCTTCCAAGAGAAATTTCTTGCCCGTGCAGTAGATTTGTGCAACTTTGGAGTAGTATTTAAGTAGGACTTGTATAACATGAAGACCTGTGCAGGACCCCTGCACAATAGAGAATTTCACCTGCAATATATTTGGTTCCTGTCCTTGGTAAATTGTTTACAGAGCAAAGACATTTGTTGGCAGTGTCTGCCTCCTGGGTTGGCTCTCAGCACAGATGTATATTTCACCCATACTGAAAATCTCTCTAGTGGTCTCCACTCAGTGATGCGTGTTTTCACCTATAACAAAATTATGTTCATGTGACTAGAACAATTCTTATGGATAATAATTGTATTTTTTTAATGTTAATATTCAGCCAGATCCTCAGATGTTTTATAAATATTTCTCAAGAACACAATTCAGTATGTTAAAAAAATATTTCATAATTACCTTTTGATACTTAATTTTTATTCTTAAAAATAGATCTATGTTGCATGTTTACACAGGGGTAAATTAAGGTTTAAGTACAAATACGCATATGCTTATTAGCTGAGCATATGAAAAAGGCTTTGTCCTTCAGAGGAAAACTTCTCTATGTTTCTC